GAGTATGCTCTCAACTCCCACACCTCGGCAGCAATAGGTATTTCTCTACTTGAAGCATCAATAGGATATGCCCCTTCTTTGTTCCCCTGTCAGGAGACCGAGATCGCTGTACCATCTGTACAACATCATTTTCGACAATGTCGAAGAATCTGATGCCAGACCAAGTCGGCACTTCTTCGATTGGCTGACCAGAACAAACGCTTTGCTTACTACCACCGTTCCTCTGCACCAGTGTACCAAGTGGGGCAAAGAGTTTGGCTATCCACCAGAGATATCCACCTGAAGGACACCCCAAGGAAAATGGCCCCACGCTTCATCGGTCCTTTCTCCATTGAGAGGATTATCAACCCGTCTGCAGTCCGGCTCCAATTGCCCGCCTCAATGAGGATCCATCTTACATTCCATGTGTTCCAGGTAAAGCCAGTTTCCCAGAGCCCTCTTTGCCCTCCGACCGACCTCCCTCCACCCGCTTGTCTCATAGATAACCATCCAGCGTTCACCGTCCGCCACATTCCTGGACGTGAGACTCAGAGGCCCAGGCTTTCCAGTACTTGGTGGACTGGGAGGGAAAGGCCCAGAGGAAAGATCATGGAACCATGCTCCTTCATCCTCGACGCCAGCCTCATCTCAGCCTGGCTTACCCTGAGAAAAGGCACAGGTCGCCGAGAGGCGATTCTTGGGGGGTGGTTACTGTAGTTAGTATGACCTTCTGCAGCTCCTGGATCCAAGATTCAATTCAATTCAAAAATACTTTATTAAACCCAAATGGAAATTATTTGTTGTTGTAACTTGATATCCTCATTTCATTAAGAGATGTTATAGATACTGATGGCTGTAGGCAGGAAGGATCTCTTGTAAAGGTCCGAAGAGACTGGCCACAGATGCATCCAATCCGTCCACCCAGACTCGGCTGACCTCTCGGTTCCCCCGGGCTGTAGGACTGTCCAAATGCCGGGCAGAACTCCTCTCAGAGCGATGGCCTCTCCTCCCAGCAGTCTGCCGAGCACCTTGTCGCTGCGGACAGCTGACAGTAGGTGCCGAGGGACGATCCTGTCCTTCCGCTGCCATGAGCCGTGTTTCCTGCTAGTTCCAGGATCTCAGTGGTCAGGCACTCAAGCACAGCCGGCAGGTAGATGAGAATGCGTCCACAGAGCATCCTTTTCAACTCATTTGAGATTTGGGGCTGTAGTTGAGATATTATTTGAGCTTTTGAGATGCTAATCAGCTGCTGTCGAGTGTAGAAAACTGCCTTGTTGCCATGGTTATGCATCATAACTACTGTCCAAAACTAAAAAAGTTTCAGTAAAAATCCTTCCAGCTGCACAGCATCCGATACCAGAGGAAACAATCATCCAAAAAATGTGATTTACATCCAGAAAAACAGGAATGAAAGTTCCAGAATGAAAGTAACAGAGCTGCTCCAACATGCAGCCACCTTGAGCGGCACAATTCGAGAACATGGCCACCAATTAAACACACCTGCAAGTCATCTCGTCATCATGGATCCAGCAGTACTTAAGGCTGCTGTCCAGCTCTACTCTCCGCTGGAGCATTCACCTCCCTTCATGGTAGTATGCTTCTGGCCTAGTTGTGATTAAAGAAAAGGGTTGCCTAATCTCTCTCCTTTTGTATAACAGTTACCTTTGTCTCCTCGTGCTCCTCCATGACCTGTTGTTCTGGACACCAGTGCCTCCTGGAACTCCTTGCCTTCCAGTCTCTTGCCTGGACTCTTTTCCCATGTCTCCTCGAACCAACGCCATCTCCCCTCCATCTCCAAGACCTGTAAGAAAACAGAATTATCAGATTAACACTCAAAACTCTCCTTACCCTTGTGGATTCCATCCTGATGCATCTCCTCCCATTCCAGGATTCCAGTGGAGAATCAACTGTTGTCCTTTTCACTGTAAATAATAAACACTGTTAACCTTTTATCCCCTCTGAGTCTTGCCTGTCTCGGTCTCGTGTTCTCTGGGTCTCCTGAGTTATGACACTTAGTCAGAGTAGTTTTCCTCATTGAATTACGGTCTAGGGATGAAAGCACACATTTTGTGTCACCACCAATTATGAGATTGTCATCATACATATTCGGTATGTTTGAGAGGAGGTTACTAAAAAATGTAGAGTCATCAAAATTAGGAGCATATACTGAAACCAAGATCACTGGCAGTGTGTACAATTTCCCCACCAGAACATCATAACGCCCAGCATTATCAACATGTACACTCGAGGCTGTAAGTTGCAGCTGTTTACCAACTATAATAGCAACCCTTCTTGATTTGGATTGAAAATTAGACTGAAACATCTGACCAGACCATTTTTTAACTAATTTTCCTCAAACTGCAGAATGCACGTGAGTCTCCTGTAAAAAGGCAATATAAGTATTTGGCTGTTTTAGGTGTGACATATCTTTCGGAATTTTACTGGACCATTAAGAGATTTTTCCAGCTTACACATTTAACTGGGCAGCCACCAGAGTGGGCAACATTCTTTACGTTGGTCGTGATTGAACAACCAAAAAATAAATTACATACAGAACATTGTAGTGAACTAGACCTCCGACATCAATCTATCTCTGAGGACCTTAAGGGGACAGGAACTATTATTTCATTGATTTGAATCCAGAAATACAAATTATCTCATCAAGAGACTATTTAATTGTATCCTAAATTAATCAATGGAAAGAACACTCTTCTTTTTATATTATCATTAACTATTTTACAATATCTTGATAATCAAAAGTGTGTTTAGTTCATACCATTTCTAAATGTTGAAGTAAACCACTCATTTAAATCAACTGTGAAACAGTATTAATGATTTTTAAACCTCATTAGCCTTGGATCATACAGTTAAATGCCTATTTACTAAGTAAGTGTGCATTTAGTCTTCTGTCTGAATGAGGAGTAGTGGATTTGAGGGCGAAAGTCAGAGACAAGTTATGAGAACGAAGTGCCTTGTTTTAAAACTCTCAGACAGTAAATAAGAACTGGCTGGCACCTGCTGTCTCTCATTTCTTCAAAATATTTCTGTCTGTACTAACCGTTCTTAAAACATTTCTGCTGTCTCCTGACTTCTAATAACCCTCTGACATCACTAAAACTACACCCCTGCTGGTTGTTTCAACCAATCAGGAAGTACCAAGCAACAGGAAGTGGATACCCTTTAAAAGTCAACACTTCTTGGAACTATTCAGTCTTTTCCAGTCTTCTGAGGCTTTCCAGTCTTCCTGGAACTTTCAGTCGAAGATGAGACTCAGTCTGATGGAGTCTTACAGCTGAACAAAATAGCTGATGGATTTGACCATATGCCAAGGGTCCGTCCATTCCAGCGTAGTCACAGCCTGCCTCGGCTGTGACTCAACCCGAGCATTAAATGCTCAACTTCTAAGGAAGCTTATTCTGTTGAACTGAGTACTTCGTCACGACTTCTGACGACCCCAGCCACTCTGACCGGAGATGCTGAAAAGGGAGCGTGCCAATGGACCTCTGTTCCGGAGTGGATGTATCCACCATCTCAGGTAACAAGCCGTTGCACGCCCTGAAGTGTACCGGAGGGCTGAGCTGGATTCGGAGGAAGGGTGCCATTTTCTGGTTCAACACATAACTTTCATCCATCTAAACCTCCTCTTTAAATATATTCCTTCTCTTTAAACTTCTATTCGCCAGTAAATCAAGCTAGATGTCTTCAGAGATGAATCAGTCTCAATCAGTAATCTTCTGTTGTCTTGTTTAGTAAATTGTGCCAAGTTTATTAATCAGAAACAGATCAGCAAATCAATGTGTACATGTTTGATGTTAAATTTTGATTCTGTTAAATAAATGACCGCATTTATTCTGATGGGTCAAAGATAAAATGGCGTCTCATGTCACTGATTAAACACTCCACTCACAAGTTATCTTGGTCGCATGGAAGAAATTTAACTAAAAAAAGAAAGAATCCGTTGTAATTGAACAATTAATATTCTTTGTGCTTGAACTAGCTTTAAGAATAATTAATTAGTAGTATGTTACAGCGAAAGCTGTCCCTACATCACTACAACATCACAAGCCAATACCTGGTAACAAAAACAAAGAAAACTCAAAAGACTGATCTGGTATGAACCCACCCCCTCTCCTTCCTGAACACAGAGATAACAAAATACTCTATCAACTGAAAATCTACACATTAGTGCTTACCTAGAGAACACAATCCAACCATCTGGGCTCCCGTCTTCCAATATGTAATACAATAGTAATAAAAAAAAACACATAAGTAAACAACAATAAAATAATAATAAAAATTGCAAATGCTATAGCAAGTAACAAATTTATACGACTCTCGAATCAGAGTGTTAATACTGTAGTCACTAAAACTTTTTTTTTTTTGACTCATTAGATTTTGGACACTGATTAGGATTCCCCTATGCACTCCCCTTTGGGGGTGTTCTGTGCATGTCCCACTGGGAGGAGACTCCAGAGCAGACCCAATACTTATTGAAAGAATGATGTTTCCGCTCTGCCCTGGAAATGGCTTGAGAACACTCAAGAGAAGCTGTAGTGTATTGCTGGAGCACGGGATATCTTATTCTCCTTCCTTGATCTGTTGCCTCTGTGACCATAAATAATTGGAAAAAGGTGGATGAATGTTTTCATGCTTTCAAAATGTTACTTGGTAAACTAACCAGGCAGAGTAACTGCTTCCTGAGAATCATCCCTGATTTTCCAAATTAAGATAGTTTAGATCTACATCTTCTGCAGGTAAGATGCCAACTGCTAGTCACAACTATGCAAAACCCCTTTTCAAATATCTGGACTTTGTATTTCATGTAAAAAAAAAAAAAGAGTGATAACTTATGTATTTACAGAGGGATTAATAAAGAACACACAATAGTCCTCTTGATATTTTAATTTGATATGTTTGTAAAGTGAGATAAGTTGACAAGATTCTGCAACATCAAATTTTTTTGTTCCAATTAAATAAAAACTGTTTATACCTATTTTTATGAATTTTGAACTATTATGCAGGTTTTTGGGCACTGGCCTAGTAACGGCACAGAATCATGAGGTGTGGTATAAACAGCGCCGGATCATGGACCCTGCCTTTAACAGCTTGTGAGTTTTATTGTTTCTAGTGTTGATGTCTATTTTATGCTTTGTTTTCAGTCATTGTTTTTTCTCAGTCAGTTTGTAGAATTTTTTTAAAGTTATTTTCTATGCATTTTTGTCCAGCTACAATATGAGTACAGTAGTCCCTCGCTACTTCGCGGTTCTTTTATCGCGGGTTCACTGTATTGCAGATTTTCAAAGTAAGATTGGACATGAAACAATTGGCTGATTAATGGATGAGCCATGGGTTGTTTATTTAAAATAAATTATTTTAAATGACTTTGCACCAGGGCAGCACGGTGGCGCAACTGGTAGAGCTGCTGCCTCTCAGTGAGCAGGTCCCTGGTTCAAATCCTGGTCCAGGGGCCTTTTTGGGTGGAGCTTGCATGTTCTCTCCGTGCATGCGTGGGTTTTCTCCGGGTACTCCGGTTTCCTCCCACAGACCAAAAACATGCATGTTAGGCTGATTGGTAACTCTAAATTGTCCCTAGGTGTGAATGAGAGAGTGAATGGTTGTTTGTCTCATTTGTCTCTATGTGGCCCTGTGATGGACTTGCGACCCGTCCAGGGTGTACCCCACCCCTCGCACAGTGATTGCTGGACATGGGCACCGGCGAACCCCGTGGCCCAAAATGGAAGAAGTGGGTAAAAGATAATGGATGGATGGATGGATGGATGGATGGATGGATGGATGGATGGATGGATGGATGGATTTTACACCATGTGTGAAGCCCACAAGTGCAAGGGAAAGTTCACTCCTGCAGCTGATCAGCTAATTTCCTTCTCTGCCACACACACATTTCTCCTGCTGCATTTAACCCTTTGCTGTCCAGATGCACAATCAACTTTTGTCCATCCATCCATAATCTTTTACCCGCTTCTTCCATTTTGGGTCACGGGGGTTGCCAGTGCCCATGTCCGGCAATCACTGTGCGAGGGGCGGGGTACACCCTGGATGGGTCGCAAGTCCATCACAGGGCCACATAGAGACAAACAACCATTCACTCTCTCACTCACACCTAGAGACGATTTAGAGTCACCAATCAGCCTAACATGCAAGTTTTTGGTCTTTGGGAGGAAACTGGAGTACCCGGAGAAAACCCACACATGCACGGAGAGAACATGCAAACTCCACCCAGAAAGGCCCCCAGACAGGGATTTAAACCAGGGACCTGTTCGCAGAGAGGCAGCAGCTCTACCAGTTGCGCCACCGTGCTGCCTACGACTTTTGTCTTCCAACATAAAATTCAAAATATGTCACATTGTAAAAAATCCTCATAATCACAAAATGTAAAAATGTTAAAAGTTATTTTTAATTATTTTAGAACTTCTATGTTCAATTGTTGAAGTGTAATTGATCTGCTCCGTGCTGCAGAGCTGAAGCTGAGTGACATCCCTTTGATGTCCTGCTGCACTTCTCCTCTACAATTTAAATTTAAATACTGTAACATTTTTAATAAACAATCCATGCTGCATGGATTGTTTATTAAAAGTGTTACAGTATTTAAATTTAAATTGTTTTTTTTAAGGAGGGGGATGCGGAGTAACAGGTGATGAGTGTGATTACAGCCTGGCACATGTCACGACAAAGTTTACTGAACTTGAACTGAACATGAACTTAGACTACTGTATCCCCACTTCACGGTTTTTCACTTATCGTGGGTGGGTGTGGTCCCAAACACCCACAATAAACAAGGGACTACTGTATAAGATTTTCCTGGTACCTTGTTGATGCGGAGTTTGGTTCCGCTAAAACTCTGATTCTTTACAGGTATTTGAAAGGTCTGCTAGGCACCTTCAATGATAGGGTAGATCAACTGATGGAGATGCTTGCAGCTGATGCTGATAATGATATGGAAGTCAACATGCTGCACTATTTCAACTCTGTCACACTTGATGTGATTGCAAAGGTAGCATCTGTCTTACAGATCTTTCTATGGGTACTTTGATTAAACAAATAAATGTAAAAAAAAAGACAAAACAGTTTTAATGCCGATTTTGAAATTATGTTACAACATATGTGCTTGTTTATTCATTACATTTCAGGTTGCTTTTGATGTGGATTTAGACCTTCTGAAGACAGATTCACCTTTCGCTAAAGCAATTGATACTTGTCTTAAAGGGCTGGTGTACTGGACAAGAGACTTTTTCTTCGAGGTAATACTTCAGTTTATTAATTATCATAGACCACACCACCACTTTGCAGGTTCAATCAAAGATAAGGAAGCAAGATTATTGAGATTAGAGATACTGTATTAGAGTCTCATTTGGGGAGTCTCAGGGTTGGTGGCTTGGGAGAAAAAAATTTAGAGGCAGGTACAATCATGGTAAACATCCAAGCTAGTTTGGAACTCCACAGATGAATAAGTGGATTGTTGTTTGGGTGAAGGATGAAAGTGCTGATAAATGGTAAATACTTATATAGCACCTTTCTATCTTATCAAGACACTCAAAGCAGTTTACACTACAATCTGTGTCCTCATTTACCTATTTATACAGCACTCTACTAGATCTCTACAAAGCTAATTGAGCAAATCATTCTAAAGACACTAATCAGTGTTTGATCACACATTCATACACCATGCTCTTGAAATTTACAGTTCTCTTGTAAATGAGTCCTCATGACTCAATGAGACTGACCTGTATAAATAAAGGTTGAATGAATGAAAAATTTGTCCAGTAATTGTACAATATTTCTTTGAATCTTCATCCCCAACCTTGTCCACCTGACCCCAGTGGAAGGCATTCAAATGGGTGGCTAGAGGCACATTGTCCACACAGGAGACAGTTCAGGTAAATGGCACCAGGCACATTTGGGCAGAAAACAGTTCAAGATGGTCACTCCATGGAGGGGAAAGCGGTCAGGCAGAAGAGACGGGGCTCACCCAAGCAGGAGACTGAGATATGGTAGACAGCCCAAATACTGCCAAATACTGACAGTTTGTATGGTCAGTCCATAAACTGTGCAAATGGGAAATGAAACTCAGGTGGTCAACCATGAAACCATGCAGACTGGCAACATGATTCAAGTGGTCAGCCCAGAGACTGTCCAAACAAGATCTAAAAAAGGGTTAAAAAAATAAAACTTATATTCTGAAACTGAAGACTTTTTGAATACCTCCCAGATGGTAAGCAGAACATCTTCAGCTTCAGATTAGAAGTCCAGTTGTTTTGGGGTTTATTTTTTAAGCCTTTTTTGGATTTATCATGACCTGGATGGCTGAGAATCTTCACCAGCATATGTCCAAACCAGCAGAATAGCTCAGACAGACAGCCTGAGAACTGTCCAAACTGGTGTGGGAGAGATGTCATCCTCAACGCTCACATATTTGGAGGCAGGTGTGACGACTTTGGAGACCTGAGACATAGACTCTCAAGGTGTAGAGAACCTTTAGGAAATTTAAGAAATGGTGACTCAGGAAGTTTAGACATAAAGATTTTAGGAGAAGGAAATTGCTCTGGAGTCCTGGGAACTGCAGGTGCGGGAACTGAAGACTCTGCAGACCTATGGACTAGAGGGACTGTAGGAACATAAATTGCAACTGCTAGTACTGCAGACTATTGTATTATTAACCTTTAATTAACCAGCCAAATCCTATTGAGATCACAGATCTCTTTTGCAAGGGAGGCCTAGGCCTAAAGGCAGCCTAACATGCATGTTTTTGGTCTGTAGGAGGAAACCGGAGTACCCAGAGAAAACCCATGAAACCACGAGATGAATTGAGACTATGAACATTAAGAGTCCGGAAATAGGAGATTTAGAAGGCCTGGAGACTGGAACCTCTGCGAAGTCGGGAAACCAAAAATTTAGACTCAGTGTATGTAAGAAATATAAATTTTAGACTTGGATAGCTCAAAGAGCTGAGAATCAGATGGCTTGAAGAGCTGAGACTCAAGTAACTTAAAGAGCTGAGACACTGGTAATGCTTCAGGTAACAGGAGATTCAGGAAACACTGAAGACTCTAGTAGAAGATCAATATAATAGCATTGAAAGGAAATCCACAGGGAGTGGTGACTGGGGAAGTACAGAAGCTAGTGGCTGGGGGGGAAGCTCCATCAGCAAAGAAGAAGCCATTTGGAAACACCATATAGAAATGTTAAAAATGTCTTTGGGCAAAAGCTAATTTTCAATCAACTGAGACCAGGTGGATAACTGTTGTGTGTTCAAATAAATTGTGTTACTACTTGGGGCAGTTGTATCTGAGTGGTTAGAGCAGTCATCATCCAATGCAAGAGTTGGGGGTTCAATTCCACCAGCAGTCACATGCCAAAGTGTCCCTGGGCAAGACACTGAAGCCATCGTTGCCTCCGATATGTGTCCCATTAGTGTATGAATGCGATAAAGCACTGATGAGTCTTTTTACAGATGTAGTAGAGTGCTGTATGAACTGGTAAATGAGGGCACAGGTTGTAGTGTAAGGTTTTTTTCACACCTGATAGTCCAGGAGACTCGGTTCAGTTGGGTACCAATATTCAGAACATTTCAGCTGGTGCGGTTTGCGTTCACACTGCACCAAGTCAATCGAACCAACCTGTTCCCCCCCTTGCCTGTGGTGGCGCTGCACTAAGAACTACTGAAGGAAACAACACAAAAACCTCTGAAAAAGACACTTCTTCTTCTTCCTCTGAAAATAAAAACAAAAATGGAGTGGCGTCAAATTTTAGCAGTTTTAGGATTTCTGTTTTGTCATTTTTCATAATGGACTCAGCATGAGCGTAATGTTGTTTTTAACACAAGGCAGCTGACGGCTTTGTATGAGGTAAGAGAAATGCGAGTTTGTTTGCCCTGCGCTGTAGTCCACATCCTGCTTTTGGAGGGGTATCCGGTCTGCTTGCATTCACACTGCATTCAAACCATGCCAGAGTTCACTTCAACTGAACCGAGATCTAGGTTTTTAGGCGGACCAGAGTTCGCTTGTTTGGTCCATATCAGAGTTCGATTGTGCATTCACGCCTCCCCAAACGGACTGGACTTTCTAGGCAAACAGACTAGACTTTGATTAAAGCAGACTAAACAGGGCTGGTTTGAATGCACCCTCAAGCGCTTTGACTATCTTGATAAGATAGAAAGGTGTGTACATGTAGCATTTACTTGGTGCTGGTGGTTTAAATTTGCACATTTTAACTAGATTTTGAATATTAAAACATCACTGCCCATTCATAGGGGTCTAAACAATATTCGAGGCACTGATGGCAGGTTTTGTTCTTTGAAGAGTATAGCATAAGATAATATATATTACGAATCAGGTAAGCTGTGATGGAGTGGAACATGATCTGTCTGTTCAGAGTACTAGACTGTGTTGGAGGGGAAAGTTGCATCGTCCTGCGGGATCAATAAAGTTCTATCTTATCTTATCTTATCTTATCTTATCTTATCTTATCTTATCTTATCTTATCTTATCTTATCTTATCAGAAAGCTTGTCAGGTGATAAGGTATGGTTGAGTTGTGGCATTGCTTCCAAACCCAAAATGACATAAACTAAAATGTGAAATAAATAAAAAATAAATATAAACTTGGGCAGCACGGTGGTGCAACTGGTAGAGCTGCTACCTCTCAGCGAGCAGGTCCTTGGTTCAAAACCCAGTCCAGGGGCCTTTCTGGGTGGAGTTCGCATGTTCTCTCCGTGCATGCATGGGTTTTCTCCGGGTGCTCCGGTTTCCTCCCACAGTCCAAAAACTTGCATGTTAGGCTGATTGGGAACTCTAAATTGTCCCTAGGTGTGAGTGAGAGAGTGAATGGTTGTTTGTCTCGTTTGTCTATGTGGCCCTGTGATGAACTTGCGACCCGTCCAGGGTGTACCCCGCCCCTCACACAGTGATTGCTGGACATGGGCACCAGCGACCCCCGTGACCCAAAATGGAATAAACAGGTAAAGATAATGGATGGCTGGATAGATAAATATAAACTTTATTTTATTTAATAAGTACAAAACAACTTTATGAACAATAGCCTGTTTGGCATCTCAAGTCTTTTTATTCCAGTTCATTCCAAAGAACAGAGGGTTCATAAGGGAAGTGAGGGAAGCATGCCGTCTGCTGCGAACAACTGGAACTCATTGGATCCACAACAGAAGGACCGCTATGCAGAACAGAGAAGACATCCCAAAGGATATCCTCACACAGATCATCAAAACTGCTGCCACAGGTTATAAGACATCAGATCTTACTTTGTTAGTGGATGAATATCCACAGTTTGAATTACTTTGAAGTACTTTGTTTAGTATTCAAGATAACCGCTTCAAACCATTGACCTGCCTATTTTCTTGTTGTAACAGAAGAAACCATGACTGCAGAAGATGAGGAATTTATGTTGGATAATTTTGTGACATTCTTCGTTGCTGGTGAGTCTTTTGACCTTAGGTGATAAAATATGTTTTAAAACGGTTAAAAGTTGCTTTTGTGCAAAACTGTTTGATTAATAATGGTGTTCATAGTAATTAGAGGTTCTGTTTTACACTGAGACGCCGAAGTCTGTCTCACTCTTCTGAGGCAGATTGGTTTGAAACAATGTGTCTCATCACGTGACTGATGACAACTGAAGCTTCATTGTCACAATGAGTCATCAGAAGTGAGGTGGCTGATTCAAATATTCTCCAGGCGGCTTCAGTCTTTTTTAAGAAACACAAAATGCTTGACACCATCTGTCTGTGTGTGTATGTGTGTGTGTATATATATATATATATATATATATAT